ATAAATCTAAACACTTTAAGTTGTGGGGAACAAATTATGGGGAGTCACTTCCATTTGGGGGAATCATTTTCAATACATTAATATGTTATCCCTACAAATATGCTAGTTAATCCACATTAAAAATTCTGAAAGCCATTTGGTTGAGAAGCCGAAACGCCTCTGTGCTCTGGAGAAAGGACCGGACATTTGCCAGCGTATCACCCTTATGTCAGGGATGTGCCTTTTGCTGCCCCCTGAAATGCCACTCCAGTGTAATTAAGTTACACATTTCTGACAATGACAGCTTGGAATTATTGGGAAGAGGCTAGCTAGAGTCTGGCAGCTTTATCTTCTGAAGCTTCCATCTATACTGTGTATGCGCCATCCGCCAAAGGGCCTGCATGTAACAGACTGAGCCTGCAACATCCTTGTAGAGTAACTGAGCATGTTCTAGGGGCTGATTGATGGGATTGGGTTTGGCCTTACTGATGGAGATGGACGTCCATACAAATCTTTTTTGTCGGGAGCGATACTTTTTAGTCTGTTTTTTATCCCACATAATGAGTGCCAAGGTATAAGAGAGAGTGGACTCACATCAGGAGTTCTTATTGGTAGAGTGCTTGGCCCCATCTGTTATTGCTCCTTGAAAATTGTGTGGCTTTATGCAAGTTTGGGCAGTGGTGTTTGAAAGACTTTCCAAGGGTACAGCTACACTGCTTTTATACACGCTTGGCTGGCCCATTCTACTGGCTTGGGCTAGAGCTGTTTCATTGTGGATGTTAGTATTTGAACTGTGGGATTTCACTTCTGTGGGTTCTAGAACCCAGGCTCCAGCCCATGCCTGAATGTCTTCACCACAGTTAAATAGCCCTGCCTCCTAAGCCTCAAATCAGCTGACATTACAATTTATACAGGGCCAGATTTGTAAAGGAATTTTAATGCTTAAAAATGTATGTAGGTGCCCAGTGGGATTTTTAAATGATATAGGTGTCTAACTCCCATTGGAGACACACTTGCTGCATCTTTAGACACCTATTATACCTTTAGACATCTAGCTCTAACATCTTGTCACCTTGGAAGTATGAAACCAATTTAGTTAAGTACGTGCAACCTTCTGCTGTGTATGCAGTTAACCAGAACAAGATGTAACACTATAAACAACAGACAGCGGCACCAAATTTAACTAAATGTTTTTTCTATTGATTTAAATTGCCACAAAAGCTATGTATTGCCTGAGAGATGGGTTCTGAAGTGCTGGAGATAGGAGGTTATGGGTGCAAATGTGGCTATGTTCCAAGAAATACTGAATGAGTCTTAACAGCCAATGTTGGAAATAATTCAGGACATTCTGGATGCAGGTGAAAACAAGCGGAGGATTTATTATACACCAGCTGATGGAGTGACACGCAGGGGTTACCCTGGTGAACACTGGTTAATTAACACAATACAATAGGTTATATAGTCCGCAGGTGGACGGAGGAAAAATGATTTGATAGGTCTAGCAGCAAGACGAAATGAGCACATAAGCCAATAGAACTACTAAAGATTACATAATATCTCCGCCCATTGCAAAGTAATTAATATACAGGTAGTTACTGTTCAAATGCCAAAACATGTCAGCAAAACAGTAATAACATTTTAGTCTGCATAGATGATGTTTCTATAGCAGGTGGGTATGGCCTTGAGTTGGTGCGGTGCTTGGTTCTCAGGCTCATTATCTAGGAGTGAAGCAAGACAGTTAAGCAAATTTTATGAATGTTATCTTAAGCAAAATGTGTTACGTTACTAACTGAGATCCTGTCCGAGTGTCTTAGAATGTGGTTGCTATGGAGCCCAGTGGTTTTTTTCCTGCCTGCAGCTCTTATCCTGACTGTGGTGTTCCCAGGCCTGATCCCAGGATGGAGTCATGCTGTTTAGAGGCCTACTAGCACATTTAGGGCTGCCTCAGCTTACCCTACAGCCAAGAACTTCTCTGGTTTGACATGCAGAAAGAACTTTCCCAGACACAGAGTTTCCAGTGGATAATATGTCATTTTTATTAATGCATCTTAAACTAAGTAATGTTTGCAGTAAATAATATTTCAATGGAGCAAGACTTGTTTTCAGCCAAATGATGATTAATAGCTGAAATGTTATATGTGGACTAAAAATGATTATACTGTAGTATTTAAACACAGGAGAGTCAGGTTAGAATAATGAGTAGCTGCCAAAATTAATACAGGATACGCATAACAAGAGCTCACAACAGATATATAGAAATGTATATTTGACAACTAGCAACACTGAAGCATTCAAATTGCACTGAAGAATAAATAGGGACCTCAAATCCTACAAATGCATCACACAAGTAAATCTCTACACCCCAAAGATGATCCATTCAAGTCAATGGAGCGCACACATCAACACAATTCAGTGCAGCTGCAATGACAGGATGAGGTCCATGGTTTTTAATCAGAACACAGGCAGATTGTTCACTATTAGTCCTGTTAGGTATGCTCCTACACTACTGTAACACTCTGAACTTAGTACCATTTTAAAGTATACACACAAATAACAAGAATACCAGCACTTATCACAGATGAACATTTTTACAATTTATAGCTTTTCATAACCCATTTGTGCTTTTAAAATAATTGCCCTCTTCAGCTTTGAAATGGTAAATTGTTTTTTGTAGAAAAACAGTCACTTTCGCATCTAAACATATTCATATTCACTCCAAAAAAGGCAAAATTACATTTATTAAATATTGTATTTTCATATTCCATCAAAAATAAGTTTGCACAATAGTAATATGTTTTTATTGCAGATATTACTTTAAATAATACATTTTAGAAGTTAAAATAGCAGCTATTATCAGTTATTTCACACTGACAACATCAAATATTAAGTTAAACAGAAGGAAACTGGGCATCTTTCCTCTTCTAATCAAAATATCTCAAAATACCAGGCGTGGAGAGGTTAGTGATGGAGGGACCAATTGAAGTCAGTGGGAGTTTTTGGCTTCAATGGGACCAGAATTTTACATCTAGAACTCTGTTACCAAACAGAAGACACAACTCCAAACTTCATTTTTGCCTCTGTTAGGGGCCAAATCCTACAGCTATGACATCATGAGAGTTTAATCTTAGCAAATAATGCAGGAATTGTATTTATTTAATATTAGTAATGGGCTTTGCTATGGAAGTCACCACTTGTTTGAACAAATTAAGATATGTTCCTAAGCAAATAAGCACTGGGATCACATGGAGGGGTGGGGAGGAAGTGGGTTGGAAATATAACATTGTTCATGGTAAGAGAGACTCATAGCGGGATCCACAAAGGGACCAAACTTAAATGTTGTAATGTTGAGAATCACAGTGCCTAACTTTTAAGTGCCTAGAAAATCTCAGGAAACAACTGCAGTTCACAAAGCTGTTAAAGATTTCAACTCCCTATACAATGCATGGGAAGATACACAAGCCTAAAAATGCATATAGAAAACCAACATGCTAGCCAACCAGTATTGAACAAGCTAAAAGCTATGAATGTGCATATTATAGAATGGGTAACATTTCAAAAGCATTTACAGTAGTTTTGCTCTTGTGAGGCAGCCACTCTTTGGGGTGGGGCTGTGCTCAGGGTTGTGGGGCAGGATAGGGAAGTTGGTGGGGGGAGCAGGCAGACTGAGTGGCACAGCCCACTTCAGCTGCAGCTGGGAGGTGAAAAAGCCTGTCAGAACTGTGGTTGGCAGATAGAATAGGGAGGAGGGAGGGCAAAAGATTGGGGAGGGGAGATTGGGGGTGGGGGATTGGGACTGATAGGGCTAGGAGGCAGAGCAGAGCTGCAGGATTTGGGCCAACAGAGCTGGGAGGTGGAGCAGAGGGCAGGGGCTGTATATTGGGTCCAAAGAAGCTGGGAGGTGGACCAGGGGGCTGGGCGATTGGGGTTGATGGGGCTGGGAGGCAGAGCAGGGGATGTGGGGCTGGAGGATTGGGGCCACCGAAGCAGGTACTGCCTGTGTCGGTGGTGACCGCAACATAGGATACTAATAAATTTGCGACACCAGTGCCCCAATTTAGTGGTGCCCTATGTAGTTGCATATGCTACATTTGCCTTAAGACAGCCCTGTGTGCTCTGTAAGAAAATTTATTATAGAGTATAGCTGGTATTTTACTGAGGGTATATGTATGCTATAAGCACCATGCTTGCACGGCCACAGGGCTGCAGCTATGCTGCTATAATATAGACACTTACTACAGGAAGAGAAGAGAGTTTTCTGTCACTATTGTGGTAGTAGCTAGTTCAATGGAATAATTCTTCCACCAACCTAGCTGCATTCATAGTGGGAGTTAGGTCAACTTAACTATATTGCACAGAACATGAAATTTTTTACAACCCTGAGCACTATATCTAGATTGACCTAAGCTCTTGGGCTACATCTAAACTGCACTGTTAAATTGGAAAAAGCTACGCAATTTATGGTACACAAATTACGTATCTTTTTCCGATTTACTTTCAAAAGAGGCTCTTTCGAAATTTGGCACATCTACACAGCACCAAATTGTGAAAGAAAGTGCTCTTTCAAGCCATCCCTTATTCCTCAAAGAACGAGGTTTACAGGGATGACGAAAGACTGTCCATTCTTTCAAAAAAAAATTTTGAAAAAGCGAACGTGTTCCTTGGACGTGGCGTTGCTTTTTCGAGATACTTCTGGTATCCCAAAAAAGCAATGCAGTCTAGACATAGCCTTGGTATAAAATCAGACCTGAGAGAGGTAAATCTGCCCAAGATCAGAGTTATCCTCTAGTTCTTTGAAAAATGGTTCTTTAGTTTCTGGCATTTAGAGGCATCAGAGACCTTTTAATGTCCCATTTTAAATATGGAAGACCTGTATTTTAAGATTTTGCTATTTTATTTGTAATGTTTTATTTACATACTTGACTCATATTTTCTATGTTTTTAGGATACCTTTAAGAATGTACATATTGTCATCTAAGTACATAAGTGGATCCAATACTACAGCTAAATCAGTCTTTTAAACTAAGCAGAGAGGCATAAGACTTATACTAATTTTACACAGAGCTCCCCCTGTTTCTCTCAAAAAATGTACAAGTCAAATACACTTGATTTTCTGTACTCTTTGTAAATAGCAATTATTAAAATTAGTGAAATGTATTTACAGATAAGCAAAACTTTTAAAACTTTAGAAAATAAATTAAAATATTTGAGGCAGAGAATACATAAGACTGAGCCTCAGCCTCTTAGTTCTGAGGCATAAATTAGATTGTTCTAATAGAAAAAATGAAGACCAAAATCTTAAATACAGTGGTCCCATTTGTTCCAGAATGCTAAGCACAGAATAATCAAGACTTGATCATGCGAACATTTAAGCCTAGAGTAGCCCATTTCAATGACCCCAATTCAACATTTTTAAACTCGTGCTTACCTTAAAGTACATATCCAAACTGGAACTTAGGCACATGTTTAAAGTTAAGCATGTCCTTAAGTTACTTACTAAAGACTCATGGACAGTTGAATTAGGACCCCAATGAGTAAAGTTAATACAGATGCTTACATATTTGATGTACCAAGCTTTAATTTTTCCTGGGCAAATATTTCTCATAATGATGTCTTGATCCTTATCTTATAAAAATGTTTTGTTTATTTTTCAATAAAAAAGTACATTTAAATACGGAATCATTTGCTAAAAGCAATAAAAAACTCTTAAAAGCCTATCTTTAATAAAACATAAGTATTATTTTTTGCCTCTTGCATTCTTATATACAGTATTTAAAGATAGTAAAATCAGAAATGGATGTAACACATCTATATGAGACTCAAATTCCATTTTATACTGCACAATTACAATACCACAGAACACCTTCCAGGAGCAGTGTTCAAAGTTCTTAATTTTCAAAGTTTTGTTTGATTTGCTTAGTAAGCAGTTATTTGGCTATTTTCTCTGCAATAATGCACCAGTTTCCATGATCATAGCAAGAACTAATAATATGAAGTTCAGGCACATTCTCTTCCAATAGACAGCTTAACTCTCCTTCCCGAAAAACATGATAATATCGCATGAAGGCTTTTGTATCCAATATGTCAACAACCTCGTCCCCAACAGCCACTGCTTCATCCAAAATAGAATCAGTGGAGTCAGTTGTTGAAGTTCTTTGAAAGAGTTTGCTAGTGGTAGACTTATCTTCATCTTTACTAGAAGTACAGTTGTAGTCCCTGTCTTTCACAGGACCACTCAGAAAAGATGTTTCTTCATTCTTGCTCTGAACTACTCCATCAAATTCTCTATTTAAATCCCTTATTACACCTGAGGCTGTCATCCATTGTGGTTTTTTGAGAGATGCATTTTCCATGAACACTTCATCATCATCTAAACTTTGTTCTTTTAATAGTGGCCCATGATGACCTAAGTCTAAACTACAATGTCTTGATGGTTGAATAGATATAGTACTGTTTACCCATCCTCCTCCATTCTTCAGAGTTTTTACCTTCTCAGTTTGCTTTCTTAATGCTGATTCATCAAGGGATCTGGAGAAAAACCATGAACGAAAAGATCTCCCAAGAGCACTATAGAATCTATTTTCCTCTTCTTCAGACATTTTCATGCAGCAGGTTTTGACTGAGCAGTGGTCTGTACTGTGGGAACTTTTTGTATCAAGTCCCTGTTTAAGATTTATTGGGTAGCTGCATTCAGAGCCTTCTAGTTGCTGTGGGTGTTTCTTTTCATTATGTCCAAGGTCACTTTTATGTCCAGACTGATTAGATTCTGAAAGAAGCCGGGAGCATAAGTCCCTATCCCATGGAACAAATACATCTTGTTTTTCAAAGCGACGATTTTTTTGTTCCATAGCCCAAACATAAATCATGATCTGGCCACCAGGTTTCAACACCCTTGCCATTTCTTTTATTGCTTTGATTCTTCTTTGTTTAGTTGAGAAATGGTGAATCACTGTGAAGGAAGGAAAGGCATACGGTTAAATATCGCTACTGTTACATTATTAATTTTTTAAAATAATCTTCCACTAATTTAGTGTCAACAAAAGATTTCAACTGACTTTTCTGGAAACATAAATCCTCCATCTAGCATGGGGTGGGCAATAAGCAGCCCAAGTAACAGACATAGTTTGTTAGGGTAGCCCTTGAAGGAGCTAACAGACACTTTATTTACCTGAGCAGACCGTCCACGGGTATGGTTGCTTGCCGTTCCCTTTGGCTGTGGTCTGGCTACAGTATCTGGCAGCAAACCACAGCCAACAAGAGCTATGAGTAGCTAGACCTGAGGATGCCCAGGTAAATAAAGCGTCTGGCAGCCTGCCAGGGACTAAGCCTGGCAATCTGCATCCGACCCACAGACTTCTCATGTCCCATCCTGATCTAGCCACAGAACAAGCAGAGCAGAAGGTAATAACAGTATGAGCCTCCTCCATACTTTCCTACCAATATGCCTTAACTACAGTTGGTCAGAAAATTTTGATAGAATCCTTTTCCATCAAAGAAGGAAGTTTCATCAAAATAGAAATCATTGGTAAAATCAAGTCAATTTTATATTCACTTTGGAGAAAAACTAAAAAAAAATCTAACAAATAAAAATGTCCATTTTCAACATTTTCAAAGGGTACGTTTAGACTGCAAGGATTTATCGGAAAAACATACACAAAATGTGCTCCATATTTTTTGCATCATTCTCTGATACTTTTGTCAGAAGAAACTTTTCTGAAATTTGGCCTGTCTAGACTGGGCCAAATTTTGGAAAAAATAACCTTCTTTCGAAAGCCCCCTTCTTCTTTGTGGAACAAGGAATACAGGGGCTTCCAAAAGAATGCATTTACTCTTCCACAAAAAAAAAAAACAGAAGAGCAAATGCGTTCCCTGGATGCGGAGGAGTTTTCTCAGGATATCTCTTGTATCCTACCCCCTAGTTTAGCCGTACCCAAAATGAAACATTTAGGTTTTTTATTTTCAAATTAATTTTAGTTTTAAATGTGTCTGTATTACAACATTTTAAATCAAATCAAAATAAACTTTTCAATCAATCCAAAGCATTTTTTCAGAATTGTGCTTTGTGGAGAATTTAGAAATTGTACAGGCTATGTTCCAATTTGAAACAAACCCAAATTGTGAAGTATCAAAATCATTCATAAAATGGAATTGCCATCCTTTTCCTGATCGTGTCTTGAATGGAGAATATGTAGCCAAAAGGGGGTAGCTGAGGCTCCCCAGACCATTCAACCAGTGGGCTCCCACTGAATTAAATGAAAGTATCTCAAATATGCAAACTGTTCTGAAGATGATAATCAAATATGACTGAATATCAAACTAATATTCCCAAATACTATGTGTTAATTTAGGTACATTTAAAGTATGTCTATCCAAAGCTCCAATTGGCTATATAAAATATTTTATCAATTAAACCAGTGGACAAAACTGAAAACATGCTAACTGCTCTCCATGAATTTACTGGCCTATTGAGACTACTCCCTTCTTTCACAGAAGATGCCTGGAAGAACCAGTAAGCTTTGCAGCATGACCTGAAAGCCACCAGATCCAGACTTTGGTTGAACAAGGAAAGGCAGCTGAGAGCACATCGAGAATGCCTCACCATAAATTGAACAAGGGTTCTGTTGGCTCATGACCATTACCTGTTCTCTGTTGCTAAAGTACCACGTAGAATAAGAGGCAGACTGAAATAGGTAAGGACCCAAACCACTTAGGAATTTACGCGTGAAAGACAACACCTTCATCCAGATATCAGCAGGCCCAGAGTAGAGGAATAATGTGCTTCTTATTGAGTTGCATATGAATCTGAATTAGCCACACTTTCTGAATAATTGTAAGGTGTCCTCCCTCTCCTCCCCGCGTGAAATGCACTGCAATGATATATGCATCTTAGTCCATTTAGTTGTGTTTTAATTTGTCAAAAAGTATGTGTAAAATGTACAAAAGAGTGTGCATCCTTCCTGCCAACTGCTCATGATAAAACCCTGCTGATGTTAACTAGACAACTAGGAGCATCTGAGGACTCAAGATTACACCTAGAAATAAACAATGAGCATGGTCCCTCAGTCAAAGGCTCTACTCTTTCTCCCCCAGCCTGTCAGTAATCTCTCAATTTTACCCAGATCTAGGCTCAACCAGCTCACTTTCAGCAAAACCCCAGTTTCTTAAACAATGGGATCAGATGAGATAGAGACAGAGCAGAGTGTGTGTCTCATGCTGAAGACAGTTCAGGCCATACATCCTCACAACACCACCTGGTAAATGGTATCAAAGGCAACTGACAGAACTGAAAAAATCAGGATGGATCTTTGTCCACCACCAGTAATAGATAATCAGCCAACACAGCCCCTGTCTAAAAGAGATTCAGATAAGGGGTCAAATTCTCTTCATGGCTAAAATGGCATAATCCCCACAGCCATACGTGTTCTCCCAATGGGATTCTGCCAGTGTCATCCAGAAGAGAATTTGACCCATTGCACAAATCTTTTCAAATTTCCAAAAGCGGAAGGAAGAACATTTGTTAGTCTAGAATTAGATAAACATGGGTATATACGGTACATCACAGGGCATCTAGGCTTAGTATTCATTATTGTTACCTGTCCAAAAATGTGATTTATCATATTTATTCTTGACAGGATAGTAATTGATATAAATACTGTATAAGCAGGCAGCTCTTTGAGAGTGATTTGCTATCAGTGGGATTGTGCCAAGGTAGCAAAGAGCTGAATCTGGCCCTATTGTCTCTCATAAAGTGGAAGCAAAGAGAAGTAAATCCTGTTAGCATATTAGTCAGCTTCTGAGCATATTGAAGCATGTATTGTTTTTGTGACAATACATTTTACTCACTACATTTGGAGTAGTTTCTTGCTGGTAATGTAGGGTAGGTAGGTCTACACTGCAATTAAACACACACTGCTGGCCCATGTCAGCTGACTCAGACTCATAGGGTCCCAAAGCCTGGGTTCCAGTCTGAGTCTGAATATTTGCACTGCAATTAAACAGTACTTTATCCTGACCCCTGTGAGCCTGACTAAGCTGACTTAGGCCAGCCATACCTGTTTAATTACAATTTAGACATATCCTTACAGTGATTAACTTGTGTGTCCCAGTTCCTGGAGTCTACTCTAGGCTCTAAGGGTCCTCCCAAAAGGCTACAACTAAGATGGCTACCAATGCCCTCTGATACCATTCACAGGATACATTGAGTGAGAATTGATAAAAAAGGAACTAAAGCCCTTCCTGGAGCCAAGTACGGACGCTTTTACATGGGGTGATCTGGACAGGCACTCCAGAGGATCAATGACAAGACAGGGCTTCACAGTCCCAAGCAAGTTAATGGGGGGAAAGAGAAAATTGACAAAAAGGAGGGCATTTTGTTTGAGTTGGAAAGCTACGGGAGAAGTAGCTTTAGGAAGTCCCTTCTAAATTACCTCTTACTGCAAAGAGAGTTTTGCACTGTTCTGAACCACTAACTGCATGTACCAGGTTGCTCTAGTGTTGCAGTGCCCAGCATCCAGAGAGAGAGAGAGAGAGAGAGAGGCTATGTCTAGACTACATACCTCTTTCGAAAGAGGGATGTAAATTTAACATATCAAAATTGCAAATTAAGCCGGGATTTGAATTTCCCGTGCTTCATCTGCATAATCGTGTCACAGCGTTTTTTTGAAAAATGCTATTTCGAAAGTGAAACCGGAGTCTAGACACAGTTCTTTCAAGAAGAGAAGCCTTTTTCGAAAGATCCTGTATTCCTCAAACAATGAGCTTTACAGGATTGTTTGCAAAAGACTTTTATTTTTGAAAGAACAGCATCTAGACTGCAGTTTCACTTTTGAAGTAGCATTTTTTGAAAAAACACTGTGACGCGATTATGCAAATGAAACACAGGAAATTCAAATCCTGGCTTCATTTGCAATTTTGATATGTCTAATTTACATCCCCCTTTTGAAAGAGGGATGTAGTTTAGATATACCCGGAGAGAGAGAGAGTGCTCTTGACTTGACACTCAGTACCAAAAGCCAGTCAAGACCCAAGGACGATTTCAAACCAGGGAACCTTTGAGCCATAGCAGAGTCAGGAGAGGGCTCAGCCCCAACTGGGGACAAAGAACAAGTAAAGTGGTTTTTGTTTAATCTGAGCAGCACTACAGCACCTGCAGGCTCCATCTGAGGACTCAGAATCTCAGCCCTGTCATCCACCTCAGGAAACATTAGGGAGGAGTTTGTGAGGTGAGAAACTGGCTTATTTATAAATACTGGTTAATTATTAGTTAACACTAATCACTTCCTCCCCCAGATACTATTTTCCTTTTTCCAATACAGTTCTCTCCTCTGTGATGCTGTTATTTGGGGCATTATTGCTTTTGTTGAGGTTTGTTTTTGTTGCTTTATTGTCCCCTGTGTACTGGGCTTTATCCTTCTTATCATTGTGTTTGAAGTATCATCATGGATATCTCAAGGGACAACACCCTTTTTCTCAAGCATGGGGAAAAGCCACTCTGAGTGGAGACACCAGGTATCAAGAAAAAAACCCATGATCCAGCTGGCATAAGGAGGGTATAAGGCCACTCCAAATATTAGAGCTATCAAGTACCTGGGAGAGCAGAGGAAGGAAGTTTCAGACACACTTTGGAAGAGAGGGCTACAGTTTTTTCCATATTTCATTATTTTATTATAAGGACCTGTCAGCAGCTCTATGGTGATAACATGGCACACTATAGCAGGATTGTAGATCAGTTATAAACATGTGTAAAATAAATCCAGGGAAGAATATTGTTAAAAATATCACCCAAAATGTCCTTCCCTCATATGCTCCTTTTATATTTATACATTCAAGAGGATATGGGTAATATATTCAAAAATTAAATCCAACAGGACTTATGTACCTATGATCCTTAGGTGGTTGTGAACTTTAACTCTATGTGTGCTCCACATGTATCTGAATACATGATAGCTAAGGCGAGCTGTAGATTTAATATATTAGTCTCCTGGCCAGACACCCCACCCTGCTCCTTCATCCATGTTACTCCTGCACCCTCTCTCCTGGTCACACACTGCACCCTCCCTTGATCCTGCTTCCTCCACCAATCTACATAGCACCAAATTTTGAAATAGTGCACTATTTCGAACCATCCCTTAACCCTCATGCAACAAGGTTTACCAGGATGCTGAAATAATGTGCCCATTATTTCGAAAATATTTTGAAATAAGAGGCAGTTTGTTAAGATGCAGGGTGGCGTTACATGTTTTAAAAACTACAACTTGACTTGTTCATACTAGGATTTTAATGCATATTATTTAACACACTTTAAAAACAAACCTTTTTCCTAGTATGTACAAGGCCCCACAAATAAACAGTACTTCCCTAGTTAACATCATTCTTATGAAATTAAACTGAATACATTTTTGTTCTCAAGTTTCCTATAATGAAACTCTGTTTTCTAAGATTTTAAAGATAGTGGACTGGTTTAAAAATAATAATGACAATGAAGAATAAGAATCAACTGAAAAAAAAAATCCAAAATATTTCGTATTTACTTTGGAATAGAAAAACATTCTATTGTATTCTCTTACCTCCAATGGAGATGATTGCATTGATGCACTGATCCCTAAGGGGAAGATTAAGGTTGTCACATACCAAGACTTCGCAGCCTTTCTTCCTTGCAATCTTTATCAAAGGTTCACAATAATCACATCCCAGATTAAACACCTGACTGTTGATACTGAGATACTTTCCAGTCCCACATCCTACAAAGTAATAAGCTTTATTACAGGAAGCAACCTATTATGAGATTCCTTCAAACCACCTGTCATCCCACGTAGAAAAACACACTTTGTAAACCTTTTAATAAAACAGCTTTAGAAAATGCAATGATCCTACTTAATTCCCACAGAAATCATTGTCTTTGTAAAATTATATGGAATGGTATCTAAAACAGCAACAAGGATGCTTTGTAAATTCATGGCACAGAGGTAAGATCATCAATAAATCATGAACAAAATGAAGGGCAAAACCTCTCCTCTCCAATCCACAATGCATATATTTGTTCAGAATGCAACAAAGATCTTCCTGGTGTCAACAGAAATTCTGCACATGCAGCATGCCCAATTCCTCCCATAATGTCTAAAAACGAGACTGTATAATGGATTTCTCTTTGGATGGGCTGGGGAAGTAGAAGAGAAAGGAATCCTCCCCCATCAAGCCATAGACTACTGCAGCATAGCTGCTACTGCCCACATCTTTAACGCATCCCCTTCATGAGGAGTGAGGGAGCAAACAGAAGAACCAATAAAGCAGTGACTTCTTCAGCCTTACTCCCAATCTTCACCCTTTAGCCATTGCTGACCTAAACTCTATGCCATATGTGCTACTCTTCCAGAACCTACAGATACTGCATTCCATGCTGTGCAACAGTTTTTCAGCAAGTGAAATCTCTAGGATTGCAGAGAAGGAAGGATTTGCCCTAGACTGCTGAATACGGATCTGAGCACAGAGAAGACAAGAAATTTTGACCTCCAAACACAGATGTGAAAATGACCAAAGTTTAATTATTTCCATGCAATAAAGAACGATTTCAGTGGTACAGACATATCCTCTTTGTTACTTTTTAAATCAGTTATAAGCACATGTTTGTAAGTGTAATGGATATCTATAGAATGTGTCTTCCACCTGAAAGTATGTTTAGAAATATTAAAGGATCAGTGCTGTTCTAAACTGAAAAACCCATAGTATACCCACATCTTAAATACTGCATGTGGTCACTTCATCACAAAACATATCCTGGCTTTGGAAAAGTTCAGAAAAGAGCAACAAAATTATTAGGGATATGGAGTGGCTGCCATATGAGGAGAGATTAATAAGACTGGGAAAAGCATGTAAAAGAGACAACTAAGTCGGGGCATGATAGAGGTCTATAAAGCCATGACTGGTATGGAAAAAGTGAATAAAGAAGATGTATTTATTCCTTCCCATAACACAAAAACTAGGGGTCACCAAGTGAAATAATGCGTAGCAGGTTTAAAACAAACAAAAGGAAGAATATGATGCACAGTAAACCTGTGGAACTCCTTGCCAGAGAATGTTGTGAATTCCAAGACTATAACTGGCCTCAAAAAAGAGCTAGATACATTCATGGAGGATAGGTCATTCAATGGCTATTAGCCAGGAATGGTATCCCTAGCCTCTGTTTGTCAAAAGCTGGGAATGTGTGATAAGGGAGGGAATCACGCAGTAATTACCTGTTCTGTTCATTCCCTCTGAGGCACCTTGCATTGGCCACTATTGGAAGACAGGATACTAGGCTAGATGGACCCTTGGTCTGACCCAGTATAGCCATTCTTATGTTCTTATGAAATATTCCAGAGTGTCCTTCCATACCATATGCATTACAGACACTTTTCAAAATTATATTAGAGAACATTCAGCACCATTATGGGTCAGTGGCAGAGAATGCTATCTGAAAGTTGATACCTGGAGTCAGGAGAACAGCTACGCAAAGAGAACCATTTTTCTCTTAGTAACTGAATTTAAAGCCCGGAGTTATCTTTAGAAACAGCACTGCAGCCTGCAGCCCCACTGCTTTCATTGATGATAATGTGTGACATTATCTACAAAGACAGCACAGTAACTGTGAGAGAACAACAGAACACTCAAAGTGGTAAAAAAGAGCACATTGCTAGAGCAAAAATCCAGCATTATTCCTAAGAATAATGCTCAAGAGAAATGAAAGAGACTAATATATTAAAGCAGTAAATATGAAATGAAAAATTAAGATATGTGTGTTAATAAGAGAGTAGGAGTTACTCAATCAGAATTAAAGTATAATTGATTATTATGTTAGTAGCAGTACACTCGATTAAAATGCAAATTATGTGTATATTGATTAAAATGCTTTAATTCAGCTAACTGAAGGACAGTTCTTACAACACAGTTTTTAAAAATCTCAGTGCATATTCTGAAATAAGGGAACCAAAAATACTTTTGTGCTGCCAATAAATGTTTCTGTTGTAATAATTATGAGCCTGACTAGTGGAAAGTGGATTCATGAATTGTTACAATGACCTGTTGTATAAAATTGTTTAAGAAAAGATGGAAGAAGGAGACAGAACAACTGATTACTTTAAACAGAAAGGCTATGTCTACACTGGCATGAATTTCCGAAAATGCTTTTAACGGAAAAGTTGACATGATCTCCCTAATGAGAAAGGCAAGCCAGGTTCCACCGCAAAAGCTGTCATGGCTGACCAACCAGTCCAATGCATCCATCAGTGACTGAGCAGCCACCCTATAGTCTAAGAATCAGAACAAAAGCTGAATTTCCCCACTTATGTACTATCCATTCGCTTCTCCACCTTGTGTCTGTCAGGGTTTTGAAAGTAGAAAGGTGGCTACCATTCCCAGCTAAGATTTGAACTACAGAACTAGCTCTTTCTTCCTCACCAAGAGTACGTCTAGACAGCAGGGCTATTTCGGGATACCAGAAGTATCCAGAAATAGCTACCCTGAGTCTTTTGAACATGTCTGCTATTTTGGGATAGGTCTCAAAATAGCAGATGCGCTATTTCAGCATCCTGTGTAGACGTGCCAAATTTTGAAATACACTATTATAAAATGCTATTGAAATAAGATATGCAATTTGCATAGCACAAATAGCGTATCTTATCTTGAGTTTAAGGTGCTATGTAGATGTACTCCAAGAGGCATAATAAACTTTATCCATAAATTCACCTTCTTCAAAAGAGCCTTTATAGGCTTTACATTTGTTTTGCATCATCAGTCAATTTCTGTTTAAATATTTGTTTCATTTTTTTCATTTTTGTATGTTTTAATTGGTAAGTTTCTAACCTTTGATATTAATTGTATAGTGTATTTGCCATGGTACTAAGCAAGCTAAGATCTCTATGGTTACAACTACACTGCATACTTATTTTGAAATAAGCTATACTAGAAGAAATATTCCGAAATAGCTTTTTTTTAAATAGCATGTCTACACTATAGGGAAGCCTCAAATTTAGTCCGAGGCAGGCCTTCCTAACATGGATGCACTACCTTGATTTAAAGCCCCAGGAGACACAGGGCAGTAATTAGTTTGAATGTCCCTGGGGAGGAGCTATTTTGAAATACCAGCAGTGGAGTATCCACACTACAGCTATTTCAAAATAAATATTTCGGAAGAGGCATCATTCCTCGTAGAATGAGGTTATGAAATTGGAATAAGCCATCCGTTATTTTGAATTTATTTCAAAATAACAGAATTGCTGTGTAGACGCTTGTATTGTTATTTTGAAATAATGGCCATTATTCTGAAATAACACCGCTGTGTAGACGCACCCTATATGTGCATTAAGTCATGAACCTTCTTTAACACTGTTTAATATTGGAAAGTGACAGAGTAACATTAACACCTTTGACTCCTTCAGTCTTTTATTCTCTCTAAATTAATGCAACAGTTCACAGTTCTACATTAGAATGAAACTTAATATTGCTAACTCCTCTAATAGTTAGTATGTACATTATATTGTATGTACATTACTTTAATTTGTAATAGTATTTAGTAATAAGGCTCCATTCCTTCCTTGGAGCCCCTTCTCCATTTCCATTGAATTAGGAAGCTACATGTGCCACTGATATTCCCCAGTTTAGGAAAGGCAGAAGTGCAATTTTTTGAATTGTGATTTGTTTTTAATTAAGTCTGAAATACTGAAAAAGTGAACTTCACACTATTTTAGAACAAATAGTATGCATTTTGGCAAAGGGTACACAAGCAATAAGATATGTGAGAACAAATTCCTCTCAATTGTTTTTGATTTTTGGGCGTTGTATGTCATATGCTGTTTAGAAAATCCATACACAGTAGAGTTCAAGGGCAAGTATGATAAATATAACATGTAAAATAACCAATGATATATGATTATTCATGCAATAAACCAGAAACTTACCTATGTCTGCAATGAGACTGCCAGGCTTTTGCTCCAACAGAAACTGACGAACACGAGGCCATGCTTTACTCTGCAGGTCATGAAAATAAGAGGCTGTGCTTTTATATACACTATGTACATGCTGATTTTCCAGTTGGGTAGCCTCATGTTCCATCCTGAATACAGCATAAGACATAATAGACAAATATCATATAAAGCAGAATATAAATGGTAGTTCCGTAAGTTGTATATTTTTATAGTATTTCACAAGTCATGCCTCTGTAAGTTAACATTTATAAAATTTTTGACACATAGAGTCAGATACTGCACCACTGAAGTCAGTGGGAGTTTTAAAGTCTCAGAGGGGTAGTCATGTTGGTCTGTTAACTGAAATAAAAATAATAACAATAATAAAAAAATGAATAGTCCTTCAGCACCTTAGAGACTAAAGAATGTATACGGTATCATGAGCTTTTGTGGGCACAACCCACTTCTTCAGATGAATGGAACAAGAGATCCAGAGGTACAAATAAATAGCAGAAAAAGAGGGAAGATGGGGAGGGAAAGGGGAAAAAATCTTGTCAATTAGCGTGCTAAATGAGCCTAATGGAGCCTAATGGAGTGAGCTGTAAGTACCAGACTCCTAGCTTTTGATGTCATTTGATGTTGAATATGATGCCCATCCAGTTCATGTCTTTGTTCAAACCTTGTTTTAATGGGTCAAATTTGCATATGAAGGCAAGTTCCGCAGTTTCTCTCTCTAGCTAATTTTTGATAATGCTTTGAGATCCATTAGAGAGTACCTGGGCAAGTTAAAATGTTCCCCAACAGGTTTCTGTGTGTTACCACGTCAAATATGTAGGAGTTTTGTTAATGACTTCAGTGGGCACATCATTATGCCCAAAGACCATTATGCGATAACGCGTGCACAGGTATTCACATTTACAAAATAATTTCACCAATGAAATGCACATGTCTATGGGGTGGAACACATAAGATGTTTCATAATGCATAGCAGCATTACGCAGTAGCTTAGGGCACAAAATGAAGAATACTGTATCCAATTGAAACTGCAGGTAAATTCAGGCAGGCAGAATATAATTACCTGAAATGAAGTGTGGCCAGAACATTAACAATAAAAACCATAAGTCCTGCAAAAAAGAGCAGTGGTATCCCCTAATCTCTAATGGTTTAGAGCTTCTTGGAGAATTTTCATCAAAACAAAGTTTCCACAATTTTTTTCCATTTTCTACACAGTTTAATGAGGATCTCGGTTTAATAACTCATCTGAAAGATGGCACCATCAACAACATAGAGCTCCAAACACAGTGCTGGGGCATCAGATGGGACAGATTCAGAAATAAATACCTTCACTGAACCATCACAATTACTTTTTTGCAGTACTCTTGGTTTTTCTTAATGTTTTTCCATCTGAGTATCATCAACTGCGCCATCCTTCTTTATCTTCTGAGGCCTGATGAAATTACAGGCCAAGATGTTATAGTTGCAAGCATTTATATGGCATTCTTCATGTGTATTCATATTACGGATGGCCTCTTGAGAAATTATTCCTCCGCATCAGAAAAACAGGACTCATTAGTCATCTAGTGTTTTGATTCAATACACAAACAGAAAGTAAAGCCTGTTTAAAGATCTTCCCTTTATAACACATTCCTCTGGATTCCTCCTCCCCCTATCCCTCACACACACATTCCCAGAGGCCTGGTTCAATCATATGACTACCTGTCACTCTCTATTCGTACTCTCCACCTGGGGAGGTAAATAGTTGGGTCACAGGTGGCCTGAGATTTAAGTTTCTTCAGAAGGGCCATCCACCATATGATAGATGCAATAATCTGTTCCTAGGTGAACAAGTAATTTATCCTAATGAAGGAATAATTTGAGGATCATGAATCAAGGAAAATCCCATACTGTTATCATTACTATGCTATGTGTAAACCAAACACAACAAAGCTTTTTAACAACAAATGCCTTATTAAATATAGAGGATTTCATGATTCTATGCCAGGGATGGACAAAAGACTCTCAAAGGGCTTTGATCTGGCCTGTGAGGCAGTTCCAGGCCCTGCCCCCAGTTCAGAGGTCGGCAACCTACGGCACACAATATGCCATGCAATGGGAGGAGGCAGCATTACGGCTGAGGCTCCTTAGTGGCTCCTCAGCAGGGACTGGAGGTGCCACTGCTGCGGCCACACAGTCCAGGGCCAGCCTCGGAGGCTGGAGGCACCACTACTGTGGCCATGCAGTCCGGCCGCAGTGGCACCTCTGGCTTCCAGGGCCAGCCCCAGACCACATGGCCATGGCAGCGAAGCTTCTGGCCCCGGCCCTGGACTGTGTGGCCATGCAGCAGCAGTGCCTCTGGGACCAGCCCTAGATCATGTGGCCACATGGCAGCGGCACCTCCGGGGCCAGCCCCAGAACACGTGGCCATGCAGCAGTGGCGCCTCTGGCCTCTGAGTCCAGTCCTGGACTGCACAGCCACCGTGGCAGAGAGGCCTCCCTCCGGGGCAGCCAGGGCAGCATAGCTGCAGCCATTGCTGCAAGGGGGCACGAAGCCAGGTAAGGTCCCCCTCATGCCCAGACCCCCTCCACGCACACCAGAATCCTCTCACTTCCCTCCCCCCCACAAGACCTGGAACCTGCTCCAACACCCTCCCTTGTTCCTGCACCCTTTCTCCTGGCCAGACACCCCACCCTGCTCCTTCATCCATGTTACTCCTGCACCCTCCTGCTCCCCCCACCAGGCCAGACACTCTACTCCCAGCCTGCTCCTGCCCCCTTCCCCCCACCCAGACCTCTCAACTTCTCTCCCTTCTGCACCCCACCTCCTTCCCAGATCCTGCACCTCATCCCTATCCTACTTGCTGGCAGCCCTGGCTCACACACTGTACCCCTAATTTTTGTCCCTACCCCAGAGCCTAAGGAGGTCCAAAAAATCCACTAATTCTGCAATCTGAGAAAAATAAATCTGGTCTATGGAAAGCCCTGAACCTCAGTCCCTCCCTCCCTCCCCCCTCACCTCGTGAGAGCATGAGGGAGGGAGGAAAGGTTTTTCACAGACTCTTTGATGGACTAAACCCCACCCTGCTCCTTCATCCATGTTACCACACACTGCACCCTCCCTTGATCCTGCTTCCTCCACCAGGCCAGACACTCTACTCCCAGCCTGCTCCTGCCCCCTTCCCCCCACCCAGACCTCTCAACTTCTCTCCCTTCTGCACCCCACCTCCTTCCCAGATCCTGCACCTCATCCCTATCCTACTTGCTGGCAGCCCTGGCTCACACACTGTACCCCTAATTTTTGTCCCTACCCCAGAGCCTAAGGAGGTCCAAAAAATCCACTAATTCTGCAATCTGAGAAAAATAAATCTGGTCTATGGAAAGCCCTGAACCTCAGTCCCTCCCTCCCTCCCCCGAGGCTGGGGCACCAGAGGAGTGAGTGTTGTTAGTTGGGGACACATCAGTGAGCACTGGGGGTTTTTGTAGGAGTCTTTTTGCTTCTCACTTGTGTGGTCCCCAACTGATTTTTCTGTGTGTCAGTGACCCCCAACCGCCCTCCCTTGATCCTGCTTCCTCCACCAGGCCAGACACTCTACTCCCAGCCTGCTCCTGCCCCCTTCCCCCCACCCAGACCTCTCAACTTCTCTCCCTTCTGCACCCCACCTCCTTCCCAGATCCTGCACCTCATCCCTATCCTACTTGCTGGCAGCCCTGGCTCACACACTGTACCCCTAATTTTTGTCCCTACCCCAGAGCCTAAGGAGGTCCAAAAAATCCACTAATTCTGCAATCTGAGAAAAATAAATCTGGTCTATGGAAAGCCCTGAACCTCAGTCCCTCCCTCCCTCCCCCGAGGCTGGGGCACCAGAGGAGTGAGTGTTGTTAGTTGGGGACACATCAGTGAGCACTGGGGGTTTTTGTAGGAGTCTTTTTGCTTCTCACTTGTGTGGTCCCCAACTGATTTTTCTGTGTGTCAGTGACCCCCAACCGAAAAAGGGTTCCCCACCCCTGCCATAAATAAAGAAAACATTGAAACCTTTTGTGTTGGACATAATATTTACTTTATTTAAAATTAAGTTTGATAAGCTAACATGAGAAATGAAAATGCTTAATCTGTTTCATAATTTAAATTAAACTGTTCTCACTAGCTGCAGCTAGTTCAGAAAATAAGGTCACTGTACCCAGCCTGCTCTTGTTTCCCCTCTCCCTCTTTTCCCTACCCCAGAGCCTAAGGAGGTCCAAAAAATCCACTAATTCTGCAATCTGAGAAAAATAAATCTGGTCTATGGAAAGCCCTGAACCTCAGTCCCTCCCTCCCTCCCCCGAGGCTGGGGCACCAGAGGAGTGAGTGTTGTTAGTTGGGGACACATCAGTGAGCACTGGGGGTTTTTGTAGGAGTCTTTTTGCTTCTCACTTGTGTGGTCCCCAACTGATTTTTCTGTGTGTCAGTGACCCCCAACCGAAAAAGGGTTCCCCACCCCTGCCATAAATAAAGAAAACATTGAAACCTTTTGTGTTGGACATAATATTTACTTTATTTAAAATTAAGTTTGATAAGCTAACATGAGAAATGAAAATGCTTAATCTGTTTCATAATTTAAATTAAACTGTTCTCACTAGCTGCAGCTAGTTCAGAAAATAAGGTCACTGTACCCAGCCTGCTCTTGTTTCCCCTCTCCCTCTTTTCCCCGGCACACAGATCCGTGAATAAGTTAAATCTCAGTACACCACTTCTGAAAGGTTGCCAACCCTTGCACTAAAAGGTAAGATCTGCATCTTAATGTATTTATTAATGAAGCTGCTGTAAGTAGGAATATTATTGATCGGCATTTGGACCTGTAAGAGAGGTGAATAAATCAAATCCTGGCACACCACCGCTGAAAGGGTGCTGATCCCTGCCCTAGACCATTGTCTGGGAGCCAGAGACATCCAAGCCCTTTCAACTGCTTCTATTCAAAGGGTTCAGCGCTCAGCACTTGCTGGGTGGCTGTGTTGCCTGGTAGCCACCTGGCAGGCACAATCCCTTTAAAGAGAAGCAGTTGAAAGGGCTCGCAGCTCTCAGTCCCACTGGCCTGTTGCCTGGGAGCTTCCCGGGAGGCACGAGCCCTTTCAACTGCTTCTGCTGGGTGGCTGCCAGGCAAGAGGTTAGCAGTGGGGCCAGGAGCTGCCAGCCATGTTATATGAATTCTAGACAACTCTGGGAGGAGGCTAGCCCGCAGCACCTTCCAATCTGCTCCAGGTCCCTTCCATTAGTCAGAAGTCAAGGGGCAGGGACCCCAGGCCAAGCAAAGCTCCCAGCAG